AAACTACGCCTGCACCAGTCTACCCACAGTTACCACCTGCAGCAACACCCCACCCACGACATTTCTGGGCACCCTCTTTCCACCCTCAGGTACCTACTGCTCCTGTCGTGGACCCTCCTCCTGACATGGACCCTGCTGCCGTCGTGGACCCTGTTGCTGTCATGGACCCTCCTCCTGACGTGGACCCTGCTGCCGTCGTGGACCCTGTTACTGTCATGGACCCTCCTCCTGACGTGGCCCCTGTCCCTGACCCAGTCAACCCAGCCAGACCCCGCCCACGACATTTCTGGGCACCCTCTTTCCACCCTCAGGTACCCCCTGCTCTTGTCTTGCACCCTGCTGTTGTCGTGGACCCTGTTGCTGTCATGGCCCCTGCCCCTGACCCAGTCTACCCAGCCAGTGACGCTGCCCCTGCCGCGACAAGAGCACGACAACCATTGCCTGTACAACCTCCTCTAATCCAAAACCCTCCTTCTCCCCCTGATTCTCACACAGGTTTTCTGTCACTAGACGGAGTCGTCACCCGCAGCGGCCGAGTCGTACGTAAACCTGCCCAGTGTGTATCACTTGTGGGACGCAACCCTGCCAACATACAGTCTCCCGCCGAGCCCAGAGGGGAGGGGGAATATTGTAGTGGATCCTATCCCCTACAACTGACGACTGAGCTGCCGCGCGCCTACCAGCCAATCAGCGTACAGCCAGCTATGCTGGTAGACCTACTCCCCAGTGTGGACGCACACGTAGCACCCCCAGGATCAGAGTGCCGGGTACTTCTGGCATTCTCCAATGTGATTAGCTCTCGCGCTATGCGCATCTCAAATCCTGATGCTCCAGAATTGTATAAATATGGACGTGGCTGGCCAGGGAGACCATTTTACTCTGACCTACTGGACCAGCAAGACCTCTCTACAGCGCCTCACCAACCAGCTCCCTCAGAAAGCTCCTCGCCCAACAGGACCTCTGGGCAAGCTACTCATCACCTAGTAACTCCTTAGCACTGCACTGTACAACAATATATATACAGAAAACGCATTGTGAGTTTCTATTCCACCTCATTCCTGAGTGTGAGATATCTACATGTACGTACGTTGTGTGCCCATACAAAGAGACAATAGACAACTAAAGAGAATTGACAACTGGCCACGTTACTGTACGCTACAAGAGACGTGACTGATCACCCGGGCGGCAAGCGAGCCGATCTTTTGGTGAAGAGGATAAATGAAAAGGAAAAGTAATCAGAGACGTTACCGATCGCCCAAGCGGCTAATGAGCCAATCAACGGTGAAGAGGACAAAAGTAAAAGATACGATACAGGGTGTTTCATAAGAAGCACACCATACTATACAGGGTGCTTCATAAGTAGCACACCATACTATACAGGGTGTTTCATAAGTTGCACACTATACTAGAGGGTGTCTCATTATTAGCACACCATACTGTACAGTAGGGAGTGACAGTTTGGCAAAAGTTTTCAAAATCTAATTGCTTGGGTTGGATTATTTGTCTATCGGCCACGCTAATTCCGAATATGTTTGAGTTTTTTACATCATTGCATTAGAAGGTTTGTGGATACTTTTGGGTTTGGCATGAAAAACGCGAAAAAACTGTAAATAATAAAGGGACTGGCAATGTGGCACAACCTGTTAAAATCAAGTTATTGAATTGGATTATTCGACTACTGTGTACACTGGTTCATAATATGCTATTGTTTTACAACTCAATGCGCTACAAATTATGCCGATATTTTTGCTGCAAGTCACCACATACGTATATTTCGAAAACCAGGGCCCAATATTACCAACGGCGTGGATAGATTCCGTGGAATGAATTCAGGACATTCCCGCTCATGGAACATTACCAAACTCCGTATATGTGCCAATGGCAGGCCAATGGCAATATTTACAGAGTTTGTTGAGGCTCCCTGGACGGGAATGCCCTGAATTTATTCCACGGAATCTATTCACGCCGTTGGTAATATTCGTCCCAGGACTGATCAACGAATTCAGCCCAAGTAGCTTGACTTGGACAGTTAAGGACAAAATCTCAGTCCGTACTTTTGAATAAAATATTGTTCAATAGGTGGTGATATTGAAGTGCTGAAAGTTGTTTTTTCTGTGTTGTTTTGCAGTTAGTTCAAAGGGCCGCCACCAAGATGGGTCGTCCTAAGATTAGCAACACTCAGCTGCGCCAGGGTAACGATAAGGTGTTCGGGGTTCGGATGCCTCTGCCATCTAACAAGTTGCCTCTGAACAAGGAAGTTGGAAGTGCCCTGGCTTATGAAGCAGAAAACGAGAGGTTAAGGAGAAGAACAAATGCTTTTGATTATATGGATGCCACCAACAAGGTGACTGAGAAGGTACTGGATGTGTATAGGAAGGCCACTGTCCCCACTATCTCTGAAATCAGGGTGAAAATGAGAGTCCACGACCTGTGGAGGATGCGGAGGGAGACGATGATGATGAAGGGAAATGGACAGAAACAGAAAAGGAAGAAAACGAAGAACGGGAAGCTGAAGATGAGGTTCGAGGATATAGCTGAGAAGTTGTTTGATGTGGCAGACGACAGCAAAGTGCACGAACGAGAGAAAAGCTTCCTGGCAGCCCAGAGGAAACCGGGAAGGGAGGGCTGCATTGATGGCGTTGACAAAATTGTGACTGCCAAGCTGAAAGAAGAGAGGGAGAAGGAAGCGAAGAGGGCAAAGAAAAGGGCTGAGGAAGAGAGGAAAACTGAGAAGATGAGGTCAAAGAGTAAGGAGGAGATGGAGAGGATGTCGTGTAAAGTGTCGGCAGTGGATGACAGTGCTCAGGAAGAAGATAGTGATTATAAGGATGTCAATGACAATGAGTTCAAGGCTATGGTCGACAGGAGAGCAAGATCAGAGAAAAGGAAAAGGGAGAAAGAAGCCGAGGACAGGATCGGAGAAACTGCTGACAGGTTCAAGGTATCCAATGATGCAGTGGCTCACATCGCAAACACCATCAGAGCTGCAGACAACATCATAACTGAAGGGGACAAGTCTAAAGTGACTAACTGGAAGAAAGTGGAGAGACGTATGTGGTGACTTGCAGCAAAAATATCGGCATAATTTGTAGCGCATCGAGTTGTAAAACAATAGCATATTATGAACCAGTGTACACAGTAGTCGAATAATCCAATTCAATAACTTGATTTTAACAGGTTGTGCCACATTGCCAGTCCCTTTATTATTTACAGTTTTTTCGCGTTTTTCATGCCAAACCCAAAAGTATCCACAAACCTTCTAATGCAATGATGTAAAAAACTCAAACATATTCGGAATTAGCGTGGCCGATAGACAAATAATCCAACCCAAGCAATTAGATTTTGAAAACTTTTGCCAAACTGTCACTCCCTACTGTACAGGGTCTCATAGGTGTTGCAACAGTGTACAGAAAACAATAAAATTAAATACAATTGGTATACTAAAAAGATTATTGGTTAGTGTTGTATTCTAACAGCAATTCATATTGTTCGAGTATTTTAATAGAAAAAAATACCAACAATATTAGTCCTATCTTCAAGAAGGGCGATCGGCACTCCACTAACAACTATAGACCGGTGAGCCTGACCAACATAATATGTAAAGTACTTGAGAGTATTATCAGAGATGCTGCAATGGAACATCTACTACGAAAGAAACTTGTAAAGGATTGCCAACACGGTTTCATGCCGGGGCGCTCCTGCTTAACACAATTGCTCAAGGTATTGGATATTTGGACCCATATTCTGGAACGCGGTGGTAATATCGACAATATTTACCTAGATTTTGCCAAGGCTTTCGACAGTGTACCCCATGAAAGGCTGAAAATCAAACTGGAAGGGTACGGAATTCGGGGAAATGTCCTAGCATGGATAGAAGACTTTCTACATGACCGCAAGCAGTGTGTGATGATTAATGGCACGAAATCGTCATCCGTACCTGTCACAAGTGGGGTACCACAGGTGCAGTGCATTGGGCCCGCTGTTGTTTGTTTGTTTCATAAATGACATTCCTGACGTTGTACACTCCTCCATACAAATGTTTGCCGATGACGCTCAGTTATTTCGGGAAATTAAGAACCAAGCGGACTGTGAAGAGCTACAGAAGGACCTCTGTGGGCTCCAGGAATGGTCGAAGGAATGGCTGCTGAGATTCAATGTCACGAAGTGTAAGAGGATGCACCTGGGGCGTACCAACGGTAAGGAGGCGTATCATATGTCCCAACGGGGTGAAGAAACTGCACTAGTTGAGACTGAATGCGAGAAGGACCTAGGTATGTATGTTGACAATGAGCTGAAGTTCTCGGGCCATTGCGAGAAGAAGGTATACCAGGCAAATAAATTATTGGGTCTTATAAGAAGGTCGTTCAGATATCTAGACGGTCCGTCCCTCATAACGATCTTCAAGAGTGAAGCGCTTCCCCATCTGGAGTACTGTCTGGTCCCCGAGATATGCTAGGGACTGTCAGTTGGTTGAAAATGTTCAAAGGAAGGCCACCAGACTGGTGCCTGCACTTCGGCACCTCAGCTACCCTGAGAGATTGGACCTAATTGAGGTGTATAAGCATCTCAAGGGGCATTACTCAGTCGAGTGTCCTTACTTGGAGCTGGCGGACGCTCGCCCCACAAGGGGTCACAGCTCAAGATTGAAGAAGCAGCAAGTCCAGAAAACCGTGAGGGCAAACTTTTTCGGATTGAGGGTTGTGAACTCTTGGAACAATCTACCAGAGAGTGTTGTGACGGCACCGAGTGTGAGCTGTTTCAAGACAAGACTTGACCAACACTGGAGCGGGTTCAGGTACATTCAGGAGCCGGTGCATGCCCAGTATTTGGCAACAGTGCGTAACAGAGACGTGACCGATCGTCCGGGCGGCTAGTGAACCGATCAGTGGCGAAGAGAATAAAAGTAAAAGTGTAAAAAGCAAAGTGGGCAAGGCTTTGAAGTGGAGGGAAACTGTGGGGTAAAATACTAAAAATAGCGCCTAAGAAACCTTTGAAAACCTGATCTATTATTCCCTAACCTTTAAAATTCCTAAAACTGAAAAAAAGTTTATGTTATTATTATTTTGTGTTTAGAAGACAATGGTATTGATTTCGGAATTTAGTATGTGTTTTTGTTTTCGGTGTTCAGACGAGGAGCGCTTTATAAACTCTAAAAGTGATTCTTAACAATTTTAAAGGTTAGGTAACAATAGATCAGATTTTCAAAGGTTTCTTTGGTGTCATTTTTAGTATTTTACCCCACAGTTTCCCTCCACTTCAAAGCCTTGCCCACTTTAAGCAACTAATATTGTTGGTAATTTTTTCTATTAAAATACTCGAAAACTATAAGTTTTTGACGGAACTACCATAGAAGAAAATTGTCTTAGAATAGTCTTAACTATGTGAAAAACGTGTTTTATATAAGAAATTGAGCCCACATACAAATTTAATGGAAGGTATTTTATTGATAACTTGAATTTATATTTCCACAATGTAAAAATAAGGCTTTGGTTTGAAATTGAAAAATAATTATAAAAAACTTTAATAATTTTGTTCTTAAAACTTGAAAAGGGGCCTTATATATCTCCCTTATTACTGTTCATGATCAATTGTGCTGTTTTCGTAGTTCAGGAAGAGGATCAGTGTAGGTCAAGGGTGAACATAATGATCATTGGTCAACAATATGGATTTTAATGAAGCTTATGATGACACCAACACCTCAGTGGGCCTCACTGCTCGTATTGGTCACGTTAAGGCACTCAAGGTAACTGTCCCACACTGATATTTATTCTATACAAGTTTCTATTGATACATACTGTAGACTGCAGGTATACAATGTGTATAGTGCAGGTGTGCACAGTGCAGGTAGCTACACAATACTTAAGAGGTCTGGCTCTTGGGAAACAACCACTTTAGGGAAATTATCAGTAGAATACTTATAGATTCAGTAGACGACAAGATAGATTCCCAAAACATAGCGGGTATCTTGCCGTGACTGGCAGTTCCTAGTAATGCTATTTTACCGTGAGTGTGCTCTGATTGGCTAAGTACTTTCTGTTTAATATGATTTGGGGTCAGCCCGGCTAGGAAGTTAGGTAGGTTTCTTTGGTTGGTTAGGTCAGGTTCTATTAGATTAGGTTGTAGTAAATATCACCTCTTTTATAATAATAATAACATCTGTGAAAAAATTACCCAAATTGAACAACAATTGACTCAGGGTGAGATAAATGCCGCCAGTCACGGTCATGTATTCTTCTTGTGTTGTTCGCCGGTAATGGACAATTAGCCAATCAGAGCGCACTCGTGGTAAAATAGCATTACGTAGTAGGAACTTAGCTGGTCACCAAAAAATATCCACTGCCTTCCCAAAAAGGTAAATTTTCCCTTGTTGCCACTATACTACCTGTATACGAAATCAAAGTTGAAACTGTTTTTTCAATGTTTTTTTTTTATGTTATGAATGAATTTGACCTTAATTTCTGGTACAAATCAATAGTTTCTAATATAAGCCCCCTCCTCCCATCTCAGAATCTAGAGATTTGGTATAAAAATCAAGATAAAAAGTGTTCAAAACATCAAAAGCCACCAGAAAAACAGTTTTAATCTAACCTATGGGGGGGGGGGGGCTCCACAGTGGTTCGATGTCCTGGGTTTGTACCGGCATGTATGAACATACATAATAAAATTTTAAATATCGCACTTATACGTAATTAGTGTCAGAAATGCCATCAAAGAAAATTCTTAGAATTTTCACAATTATTCACCAACTATAAAATTCCCGAGATTCGTTTAGTGGCAACAAGTGAATTAATATCCCCCAAAATGGCTCACACAGCACCCATGGAACAACACCTCTCACACTACTGTATACAGTATATGCATTTTGAGACCTCAGCAATGTCTTTTCAGAATCTTCTGCGAGCCGGTCATCCAAGTAATGGGCATGACAACCGTGGGTGGCGTCCTCTGCACGAGGCTGCGGCAGGGGGTCACGTAGAATGTGTTCGCTTGTTGTTGTTAGCGGGTGAGTCCGCTAGATTGGTTTAAGCTAGGCTGGATTAATTCATTAAGGTGAGCAATGTACTGTACTAAAATCATATGAAGCCTCATAAACTTTTCTGGCCTCTAGATAAGCTGTAGTTAGAAATGTGTAATGGTCATTCTATCTTACATTTGTTGGCCATTTCTATATTGAAGGATAATTTGTTTAATGTGTTTTATATATGAGGTGCTCTGCATTACAAGGGGGTGAAGCACCAAATTTAAAAAGCGGAGATAAACGCATTTAAAGTTATTCAAAGTTCAAACAACCATAACTTTGTTGTTTTTTAAGCTAGAGGGTTTATTTTTTGTTATCGTGCAGCTCAATCCCTCTCTTAGCGAACAGTGAAAACTGTAAGTTAGTACTGTGAATAGTTATTACTTTATCGCGAGTTGAATGAGAATAACTACCCATCATGTATGGTTGGTTGATCTTTAAACCAACAATAATCGCATTTTTCTGCAAAATTTTCTTATTGTTGGCTAATACTGTAAAACAAGTTAATGATCACCAAAAACAGCTCTAGTCTTTTTTACTTTTTACTTTTATCCTCTTCACCACTGATCGGCTTGTTAGCCACTTGGGCGATTGGTCACGTCTCTGTCATGCACTGTTGGCAAGTACTGGGCATGCACCGGCTCCTGAATGTACCTGAACCCGCTCCAGTGTTGGTCAAGTCTGGTCTTGAAAGAACTCACACTCGGTGCCGTCACAACACTCTCTGGTAGATTGTTCCAAGAGTTTACAACTCTCACTCCGAAAAGGTTTGCCCTCACAGTTTTCTGGACTTGCGGCTTCTTCAATCTTGAGCTGTGACCCCTTGTGGGGCGAGCGTCCGCCAGCTCCAAGTAAGGACACTCAACTGAGTAGTGCCCCCTGAGATGCTTATACACCTCAACTAGGTCCCCCCTTGCCCGTCTGTAGTATAAGCTCGGCAAGTTCAGGCGCTCCAATCTCTCAGGGTAGCTGAGGTGCCGAAGTGCAGGCGTCAGTACTGGTGGCCCTCCTTTGAACATTTTCAACCAACTGACAGTCCCTAGCATAATAAAAAACTCATTTGCCTATCAGTATTTATCTTTCCGTCCATATTATTAGCCAAAGATTTATAATATTGTTTAGTATATTTTATTTTTATTTTATTTTATTTTATTTTATTTTTTTTTTTTTTTTACGGGCATTAGCCCACCCGCGCACAGGTAATTTTTAATGACCCACATCAAAACTGTGAGGGCAAACTTTTTCGGAGTGAGAGTTGTAAACTCTTGGAACAGTCTACCAGAGAGTGTTGTGACAGCACCGAGTGTGAGCTGCTTCAAGACAAGACTTGACCAACACTGGAGCAGGTTCAGGTACATTCAGGAGCCAGTGCATGCCCAGTACTTGCCAACAGTGTGTAACAGAGACGTGACCAATCGCCCAAGTGGCTAACGAGCCGATCAGTGGTGAAGAGGATAAAACAAAACAATACTGTAATTATTATGATGATGATGATAAAAATAGTAATAAAGTTAATAAAAATATATAAAATAAATAACAATTATAATAAAAGAAAATAATAATAATAATAATAATAATAATAATAATAATAATAATAATAATAATAAAAATACATAGTGTGTAATAATAAGGAAACACCACTACACTTATCCCCCCCACCATTAACCCCCCCCAACGTAATTAACGTACGAATACAAAGGCGAAGAATGTTTGCATAATCTTGTGTAAAAACAGTACTGTATTCTGATAATAGTTACTTAGTTTTATTACCCCTGACGATCGTAGTAAGTTGAACTTACGTAAATCCTGAGGAGTGCGTATAACTTTAATGGCCTCGTCATAATCAATCACGTACTGTTCAAAGTCTTTCTCTGCCCTCTCTAAAAATCGCTTCTCTCACTCTGAATGGGATGTGACCACCTTTACTTACTGAGCACACAGCCAGATACGTAGCTCCCTGCTCCCTGCCAGAGGCGAAATGACACCCTATTTTTTAAGGACTTTCAACTATATTTCTAGTCTACCTAGGGGGGTTACATCCGATGCCAACATGTAGAGGAAGGGTAAACATAGTGATACAGTATCCATTAAAAAATGCATTTTGCCCTGAGTAGCGCTTTACCCCCTTGTAATGCTGAGCGCCTCATATGATATACTAAGTGTACTCTACTGAAATTTTTCAGATGATGCAGATGTTGATGCCATGACACATGAGAGGACGACTGCTTTACACTTGGCTTGTTTGTCACAACCTTGTCACAGCAAAGTGGTGAAGCTTCTACTTAATGCAGGAGCTGATGCTAATATGACACAAGGAGACAACTGGTCTCTGCCTCTACCAAAAGGTTGCAATACCCTGCTGGTGTGTTAGTTAATTAAAAAAAGAAAAATGCAGAATGTTAACTGTATTGTACAGTACTTGCATTACCTCTACCGTTATTCAGTAATATGGATAAAGGATTTTTTTAATTCTTTTAAGCCCTATCCCATTGTATTGGCTGGTTGGCTGGAACCAAAAGGAAGCATATGGTCTCATTGTACATTAACATTACTGCTGTAGTCTGTTGTCTCTTTCAGTTTTTTAACAGGTTCCCAGTTCAAAGTTTAAAAGTTCAAGCAATTAGTGTTAGATAATGATCTTAGAAATAAGTAAAGATACTGTATTTAGTATATTTAAAAAGTAAATTACTCTGTGCCTAAAGTTTTAAATCCTTTATATACTGAGTAATGATCTGGGTTCACTGTACAGTACTGTATAATTAGTGTTAATTAATGACCTCTGAAATAATGGAAAATATTGAGAATATTTAAGTCATTTACACTGTGCCCATAAGTTTTATATCACCTTTATATACATTTTGTTGAAAACATAGACTATTTTTAATTTATAAATGCATTAGTTTTCACTCAAGCAAAAAAATGTTGGTTGACGTTAAAAATATACCTGACCTAATACCTTGCCTTTTGATAGATGAGGTCATGGCATAGATTCTGTTCACATTTTATTTAAAGATCCTCTTTTACATGCTGATGAAGGATCTGGGTTCATAATTTAAAATTTTGAGTAATTAGTGTTAATTAATGACCCGTGCAGTAAAAAACACCTTTAGAATATTTAAAACTTCAATTACAATGTACCTGTAAGTTTTAAATTCCCTTTACATATTGTCTCAAGAATCTAGACTAACTTTACCATTTAAGCTCATTAGTTTTCACTTTCCAGTAAAAAGTCATAAGTGGCCCCTAAAACACTTGACCTAATGTATTGAACCATAGTGTCCTGTTTATAATAATGAAAACTTTCATTTCACATTAATGTTCCCATTCATTTTATTGAAGGGAAAACATGTAAGACTGAATCTTTATATGATTCCCTCTGTTACATCTTAACCCTTTGGACACTCTTCAACAGCAGTTAACAAATGATGAATATTATTGAACATGGTGTTCGACTTTTCTCAACGCGCCAGCACCTCTAAATAATTTTCTTGCATCATCATACCAATAAAAATTGAATGATTGTACTGTATTAATTTGTTGGTTTTTCCTCATATCAAAGAACATGATATAAAATATTTGTTGATAAAATTTTGCCTAAAATTTAGTGTAAAAAAAATTAATATCTTAAGAGTTATATAATAAATAATTTTGTGTCTAATGCTTTTCAGAATTTTTAAAGCATTTAATAGTGTTGCTAAGTTTTTAGCATAAAATAAGGAATCCATAAATAGTTTATTTTCAGTCTTTGCATAAAATTATTTTACCCTGCTGTTAAACGTTGTTCTTTGTTTTTATTAATATAAATGGCAGATATGGATTGTTTATGGTTTTCCATGATAAAAAAAAGTAGAAGGACCAGTTACCATTTTCACATTTTAATGGAGAAGTGACACTCCTCGAGAATGCTCTTGGGAAAAAAAAAAAATGGTCCAAAGGGTTAAGTGAATCTCTGACAAATACTGTACACATTTTGATACAAGACTCCCTGATAAACATTGGTATATTTTCCTATGAATTATGTACCTCAGCTGTGGTAAACAAGAACTTGGAAACAGTGAGGTACCTGCTAGCTGCGGGAGCTGATCCTAACCGTGAAGACCATAAGTTTGGGCTGCCACTCCATGTTGCTGCTGGAAAGGTGTATGATCATTGTTAATATACCAGTTGTGCTTATAATGCTTCTAATTAGGTGTCAGAAGTAGCACTATATGATGGCCAGATGTGATGCATGAACATTTGTTATATGTACAGTACAGTAGTCATAGTAAATAAAGTGCCAGTTATTATATAGCATCATCATGACACAGGGTTTACTGGAAATAACACAACTTCTTCTGGAAAGTGGTGCAGACATAAACAAGGTTGATGAGTTTCACCGGACAGCTCTACACGTACTCACTTACCACCAGAATGTAACGGCTGATGCCCTCCTAGTTCTTGACTTACTCCTGGAAAAGAACATTAACGTCAATGCAAGGTACAGCAAGTCATATCCTTTGTAAACTGGGAGAAACTTAAAGACAGTGTTTTATATAGAATGTTTTGTTCCATTTTCAGAAAGTTATTTATGGACATAACATAACCTACACCTACCTTGGTTTTTATATTTTAAATACTGTAACTGGAATACTCTACACATGTGTTCGAGTTGTTTGGTAAAGCTTAATGTCTTCATTGTTCTTAACCTAAATATGGACATGACTTTATGGCAAGATGTGGAGAACTGGGAAGAAGAAAAAATTAATAATGATCATCTGACCACGTTCAGGATGCAAGACGGTACCACTGCACTAATGTTGGCCATTCAGAGCAACTGGAAGGATGCTGTCTTCAGGCTGCTTGAACATGGAGCTGATGTCAGAATAATGAAAACCGTCGGGGTGTTGGCTCTTCATTTTGCAATTGAGTTTTGTCCCGTAGACACAGAACTATCCTCCAGGTGAGTCAAGCTGTGTATTGTTTATTACAGTTAAGATCTTGTCCACCATTACAGTTTATTGTCTCCCCTTTACTTACTTAAACACTTGGTCTGTGTACAGTACAGTGAGTTCTGCTATAACGCGTGTTTTGATAACGCGAATTTGCTCTAATGCGATTTATGAATTAGGAACGATATTTGTATAACGCGAACGCTTGTTTGCTATAATGCGAATTTTGCTTACTATTTCTCCAATTTTGTGGTATTAACTGTGAATATGGTAAAGAAGAATATCTCCAAGAAGCGTTCTGGTGATAGAATTCCCGGTGATGATCGTAAAAGAAAGGATATAACACTTGAAGAGAAGCTCGATGTTATCAACCTCAAAATCACCCTTCTCCCCCATCAAGTTACATTCATATTTTTTCAAGGTAAAGTGTTACATTTATTGTATGATTTCATTATTAGATATAAATGTAACATTTATTTAGACTGTGCTATCCTTTGTGTTAGGCTAACTACTAAATTTTTTCGATTTTGAGTAATCTGCACCTAACCCTATTTTCTCCATAAGCCCTGTTATTTCTATTACGCGATTTTCTATAACACGATATTTTACAAGAACACAATTATTGCGTTATAGCAGAACTACCTGTATATGTTTTACTCATAATCTGAGAAGTTTTTAGCAGCTATAATTTTTACATATGGGACTGCTACCTCTTGTTGTTGCTTATCAGTTCAGTTAATTATACCGAGTAAATAGTACTGAATAACTTAACAAAATCCTGCATTACTGGAAATCAACAGTGTTTAAATATATTGTGAATTCAACACATACCAGGTAACAGTTTATATATGTACTTGGTGAGTGTGTGACCTACTTGGCTGCATTTATCCAACTCCTCCACCTCACTTTTTAGCTCATTTGGAAGAATTACACTTTTTCCTCTTTTTTCATGTCCTTTACTGCTCAGAACTGTACTGTACAGGTATTAGGTTGGCTGAAACCATAAGATAAAAGTACTTATCATATGGTGATGCTGTGTTTAGGCTTTTTTCACACACTTTACTGTACATGGCGAGAAGATTATGGCCAACATATTAAATATGGTATCTAAATTGTGATTGTTAATGGCATCCTTGTTTCTCCTGTAAATTACAGTACAGTTTAGTATATTACATGCAAGTAAGTCACTGTAGTTGTGCATGATCTATGTATATGCTAATAACCACATAGGAAAAAGGAAAACATGAAGTTCCCAAGCATTTCCGTGTAATTCACATCTTCAGGGTGAGACTCACCAGAGGCTGTGAATTACACAGAAGTGCTTGGGAACTTCATGTTTTCCATTTTCCTATGTGGTTATTAGCATATACAGTATATTACATGTGAACCCTTACAGTGTGCTGCCTATTTCCTCAGTTACTTTACCATTAAAAGTAAGAGTTTGCTCTTAAAAGGTTTCATCCCTGGGTGCACAATGCAGAACTCAATTCTAGCTCTTGACTGTCACTGCTCTAAGGGACAAGCTGTAGGTTCTTTATGTAACTTTATTCATTGAGTAGATCAAGATAGAGAACTGTGATTGTTTGTCCTTGTCTTCACTATTTCTCAGTTTGGTTGTTTAACAAATAAATTGGATCTTGTTTTTTTATCATTGGGACTCTGTTATATTCTTCTTCCTTTACAATCAGTTCTTGGTTACCATGTATCGATAACTTGTTGCATTTTGTGAAGCTGGCAGGGGAGTTTCATTGTCTTTACATTACTGTTATTATTTGTTTGTGTTGTCAATAATAGGTGTGAATTTAGGCAGCATTAAATTAATGATGCAAATTTTGTAGCTTATCCCAAATTGGCAAGTTTTATATAAAAATGTGGAGGTAAATGTGTTCAGTGTAGGTAGTACCTGTCAGTGTTCAGTGTAGGTAGTACCTGTCAGTGTAGGTAGTACCTGTCAGTATTCAGTGTAGGTAGTACCTGTCAGTGTTCAGTGTAGGTAGTACCTGTCAGTGTTCAGTGTAGGTAGTACCTGTCTGTGTTCAGTGTAGGTAGTACCTGTCAGTGTAGGTAGTACCTGTCAGTATTCAGTGTAGGTAGTACCTGTCAGTGTTCAGTGTAGGTAGTACCTGTCAGTGTTCAGTGTAGGTAGTACCTGTCAGTGTTCAGTGTAGGTAGTACCTGTCAGTGTAGGTAGTACCTGTCAGTGTAGGTAATACCTGTCAGTGTAGGTAGTACCTGTCTGTGTTCAGTGTAGGTAGTACCTGTCAGTGTTCAGTGTAGGTAGTACATGTCAGTGTTCAGTGTGGTAGTACCTGTCAGTGTTCAGTGTAGGTAGTACCTGTCAGTGTTCAGTGTAGGTAGTACCTGTCAGTGTAGGTAGGCTGTCAGTGTTCAGTGTAGGTAGTACCTGCCAATGTTCAGTGTGGTAGTACCTGTCAGTGTAGGTAGTACCTGTCAGTGTTCAGTGTAGGTAGTACCTGTCGGTGTTCAGTGTAGGTAGGACCTGTCAGTGTTCAGTGTAGGTAGTACCTGTCAGTGTTCAGTGTAGGTAGTACCTGTCAGTGTTCAGTGTAGGTAGTACCTGTCAGTGTTCAGTGTAGGTAGTACCTGTCAGTGTTCAGTGTAGGTAGTACCTGTCAGTGTTCAGTGTAGGTACCATAGTACCTGTCAGTGTAGGTATTACCTGTCAGTGTTCAGTGTAGGTAGTACCTGTCAGTGTAGGTAGTACCTGTCAGTGTTCAGTGTAGGTAGTACCTGTCAGTGTTCAGTGTAGGTACCATAGTACCTATCAGTGTAGGTAGTACCTGTCAGTGTTCAGTGTAGGTAGTACCTGTCAGTGTTCAGTGTAGGTAGTACCTGTCAGTGTTCAGTGTAGGTAGTACCTGTCAGTGTTCAGTGTAGGTAGTACCTGTCAGTGTTCAGTGTAGGTAGTACCTGTCAGTGTTCAGTGTAGGTAGTACCTGTCAGTGTTCAGTGTAGGTAGTACCTGTCAGTGTTCAGTGTAGTAGTGTTCAGTGTGGTAGTACCTGTCAGTGTAGGTAGTACCTGTCAGTGTAGGTAGTACCTGTCAGTGTAGGTAGTACCTGTCAGTGTTCAGTGTAGGTAGTGCCTGTCAGTGTAGGTAGTGCCTGTCAGTGTAGGTAGTACTTGTCAGTGTTCAGTGTAGGTACCATAGTACCTGTCAGTGTAGGTAGTACCTGTCAGTGTTCAGTGTAAGTAGTACCTGCCAGTGTTCAGTGTAGGTAGTACCTGTCAGTGTTCAGTGTAGGTAGTACCTGTCAGTGTTCAGTGTAGGTAGTACCTGTCAGTGTTCAGTGTAGGTAGTACCTGTCAGTGTTCAGTGTAGGTAGTACCTGTCAGTGTTCAGTTATCTCTGTAGAAATTTATTAACTGTATTGTAATTAATGAAAAACAGAAAAGAGTCACATGCAATAATGAACTGATTAGTGGTTGGTGTAGAGACAGTGATGACAGCACAGCCGTCCTGGAGAAGATCCTTAGCCTTACACCCAGAGATCTCATCATCCCAGAGACAGCAGAGCTTGTTAAGTACAGCTTTTTCCACTTGGCTGTTGAGTGGGATAGGTAAGTGTGTTCTTTGGCTGTGAAGTAAGATGCAATTGTATACAGTACCGTTTGTATATTTAGTGACTTACATCATTTAATCTCTTATATACCAGTAGTTAAGCTCTTTTCATGGTGTTATTTATTAGTCCTTTATATTCCATAAATGAATTGTTTCTTAAAGTCTCTTGATTATTTGTTGTAATACTTATCTAGCCCTCAAGGGGGTAACAAAGAAGAGTTAATAATAAAAAATAAATATAATTCACCAGATTCAAGTGCTTGAGGACCCTGATAGAGGCTGGGGTTCCACCAGACAAGTTCTTGCAGGAGAGTAGCGACGCTGCCCTTGATGAGGCCGACGTTGACCTTTTCCGCCAGGTTAACTACAGCTGACCTTTTCACTCTTACTATTTCACACAGCATAATGTAGATATAACTTGTGCCATTTTAAGATTCATAAAGCAGAGAATTAAGTAATTTTTTTATTTTTTTTTTATTTTTTATACTTCTACTTACTTTTATCCTCTTCACCACTGATCGGCTTGTTAGCTGCTTGGGCAATCGGATAAGTCTCTGTTACGCACTGTTGGCAAGTACTGGGCAAGCACTGGCTTCTAAGTATATCTGAACCTGCTCCAGTACTTATCCTATCTGGCCTTGAAAGAGCTCACACTCAGTGACGTCTCAACACACTCTGGCAGATTGTTCCAAGAGTTCACAATTCTCAATCAGAAAAAGTTACCCCTCACAGTTTTCTGGGCTTGCGGCTTCTTCAACCTTAAGCTTTGACCCCTAGTGGGGCGACCGTCCGCCATCTCCAGGTAAGGGCCCTTTGAGATGTTTATACACCTCAATTAGGTCCCCCCCTTGCCCGTCTGTAGTATAAGCTAGGCAAGTTCAGGCGCTCCAATCTCTCTGGGTAGCTGAGGTGCTGCAGTGCAGGCACAAGTCTGGTGGCCATCCTTTGGGCATTTTCAATCAACTGACAGTCCCTAGCATATCTCGGGGACTAGACGGGGTGACAGTACGCCAGACAGGGAAGCATTTCTTGAAGATCGTTACGATGGACGGACCATCTAGACATCTGAACGACCTTTTTATAAGACCTAATTATTTAGTTGTCTGATTTACCTTCTTCTCGCAATGGCCCGAAAACTTCAGCTCATTGTCAACGTACACACCTTGGTCCTTTTCACATTGTCTCAATTAATGCAGTTTCTTTGTCCCGTTGGGATATTTGATACGCCTCCTTACCGTTGGTACATCCCAGATGCAACCTCTTACACTTTGTGACATTGAATCTTAGCAGCCATTTCTTCAACCATTCTTGGAGCTCACAGAGATCCTTCTACAGCTCTTCACAGTCTGCTTGGTTCTTAATATCCTGAAATATCTTGGCACCATCCGTGAACATTTGCATAGAGGAATGTACAGCTTCAGGCATGTCATTTATGAAGCAAACAAACAACAGCGGGCCCAATACACTGCCCTGTGGTACCCCGCTTGTGACAGGTACACATGATGATTTCGTGCCATTAATTACCAAATTCTGGTTGCGGTCATGGAGAAAGTTTCCAATCCACGCGAGGACATTTCCCCGAATCCCATACCCTTCCAGTTTAATTTTCAGCCTTTCATGGGGTACACTGTCAAAAGCCTTGGCAAAATCTAGGTAAATATTGTCGATATTACCACCCTGTTCCAGAATTTGGGTCCAAATAAAAGAAAATACGGTACCTTTCAAATGAGTGATTCAGGTGATACCATTGTAGTGTACAGTATTTCAAAGTTGAACTCAGTAATGGATGATTGGCATAAGTGGAGGAGGTTGTTGTGATAGGAAGGCATAGAGAATGGAGGAGGTTCAAAGGGACACAATTAGCAGAAGAAAAATTGATAAAGACCTTGTTCATAAATGATGTAGGTACAGTATTGTATTTATCAAGAATGGAGAGTGAAGATTGACCTGAGAGTAACAGCATAATTTACATGAGTGAAGGTAGTGACAGCAGATTTAGAATGAGGATAAAAAAAGAGATGGAATTGCTGTAGTGTGACATCAAATGTGAAGAAATAAGAGGAATATATTGGCCAAGTTGTAGAGAGGATATTCTCAAACCAGGAATGCAATAAATTGGATTGAAAGATTTGGTGAGAGAGTTTGAGGCTCAGAAAGAAGGATAAATTGGAAGATGTGGTTAAGGATAGGCAAGGAGAGAAGATTGTGCCTGAATTAGCTAGTAGGATAGAGGGGGATGGTATATAAAGTGTAAATGGTTTATGTATTTATATTATGTAGTTATACTGTACTACATAATTGTTCTCAGGTACCCCTGGTGCTGCATCTTGGTACATGTGTTGACACGCCACTGGGCTTCCTCCTCTCTAAGCCTCTCACCAGACAGAGGGTGGACACTGCAAAGTTAATGATAGACAAAGGTTGGTTATAATGTTAACAGTTTCCCTCTGAAGAGGTCCCTTGTACAACACATTTCGGCTATGCCTTATGTATCATAATTTTATTGTTTAACATACAGATGTACTGTAATTGAAAATGAGCAACAGTGGATAATACAGAGGTGCCAGTGGAAGTAATATTTGATACAGCATACAATGATGAGTACAGTATACTATACTATCGATTTAATGGAATCCGATATAACGAACTCTCGATTTAGTGGAAATAATTTTATTACGCTATTTTTCACTCGATTCAGTGAACTAGTTCGCTTAATCGAGCGAAAATGAAACACATTTTATTGAGCGGAAATTTTGATTTAATGTTAAGAAGTGGCTCGAATTAGTTCATTAAATCAAGAAAATACTGTATATGAAGATCCTATTTTAACCATCCATTAATTCTCAAAGGCTGTTAATTAGAACTGATGAATAGTGTAGTAAATTTATTATACTACAGTTTTAACGGGAATTGAAACGGTATTATGAATACTGTACGGGGATCTGAAAGTATCGTTAGTTTACGTGATAATAAACAGCTTAATTTAAAGGGACTTAATGTTGTAGATTAAAAGAGAGACTCCAATAAATGACCTTCAACAGGAGACACATGTGAGATACAGTACTTCACAATGCCTCATGATCGCACCTGCTATCCATGTTCAGTCAACTAATGTCCATGTTTTAATAACCGTTACCTTTCCATCCATGTCTTGATTTTCTTTAGCTGGGCATAATAAATTAATTCTCGATGTACGGTAATATATTTTAATTTAATTTATTTTATATTTTCCTATCATACCTTAATGACATCTCTCTATCACGTCTGTACACAATAACATCCCTCATTACTCGCCCCACACAGATAATCCTTCAACACAGTTTCCACAAAAGATCTCTGAGTGGCTGGCAGGTGTCACTAGCCTATGTGATGCACAGGCTACACCTTCAACCTTACACACCAGGATCTTTCTTTCCACTTCCTTCAATTTTTATCATTTCTCATTACCATCTTATTTGGCCAGCATGAGAAAGTGAAAAATAATGTATGAAAGTGAAAGAGTAAGTGAAAATGAGTCACAAACAATTTACTGTTGTGAGTAAATTGAATAACTGAAATATTCAAGTACTGTATTCTGTAGTATTACAGTGTTGGTTTATGGTGTACTATTCAATATCAGTTGACGATTTCATTGTTTGTTTTTAATTTTTTGGTAGTTTATTATACTCCTGTGTTTTTTTTTATGCAGGGAGTTGTGTAAATGCAGTGAACATGTTGTGTCTGCCACCCCTGGTAGCAGCCGTCAAACATCAGCGCATCTCGTATGGTGAAGGCGCTCTCGGTTCTGAGATCGTCCAGTATCTACTTGATCACGGTGCTGATGTTATGTACAAAAAAAGGTGCCTGTAGTACTGTATACTATATAGTATTAATATGCCAAATGTGCAGTCACTCAGAAAAATTTGTTCTCCAAGTCAGCTCTCCCACTGATGTTTTGTTCTTGTAACACTGTATAGTATAGTACACACACGTACGAACATACACACATTGATGTAGTCAGCGTTAATTAATGGTTATCTGATAACCACGTCTGTAATGATAGTCCAACACATACTTCACCCGAGATATATCATTGACCGATGTGTATCAAGTTATATTTCTCTATGTACTGCAAAATTAAATATATTTTCTAATACAGGTGTACTTCTTTCCATACTGTGGTAGTTCTTTTCCTTCCTGTGAACCTGCTGCTCAAACCCTATGTGCAGTGTTCTTGTTACAACCTCTTGCTTCACTCTCTACTGTACTGTACTCATGTGTTGCACCACTCACACTCTTATATCAATCTTTTTTTTCTTGAGGATTTTGTATTCCTTGATCTATCCCACACAAGAGAGGGAGAAGAGTACATATTATATCAGAATACTTTAAGCGCAGATAACACATTTACGTTAATTTAATTCCATCTTTACAGAGAGAGTAATGTCCTGCCAGTAGCTCTATATGTTTCATCTTTGTTCAATGTCGTCGCCTTCTTCAGACTTCTACAACAGGGTGCACCAGCACACCAGGTTTTCAACCGAGACACTCTTGAAAAACTCTGTGAAAAATACTGTTCCAGTTCGTAAGTGTTTTTTCTTGTAAATAAATTCTAAATATTATTTTTACCATGTACAGTTGTACCCCGCTTTACCCGGTCAATTGAACCCACAGGGTACCGCGTTAAGTGAAAACCGCGTTAAGTGAACAACAGAACATGGGATTAATTCCAATAGAGACTGGCCCGACCCCCAAACTCTACTTTTTCCGACACAATACCTATGTTCTAGTAAAAATTACATCTTAATTTTATGATGGTACATGCACACAATTAATACTTAAGAGAAATAGAGAAATACAGTTGCCAAGTTAATGTCCATTCAAATAATGGACTCAACTCCCTCCCCCTCTTCTCACACTACACTGCTGGCTCTTCCCTCTCTGAGAAATTTTGGGGGGAAAACCACTAGATTTTAATAAATAATACCTCAAACTAAAGTTAGGATAATATAATTGACATTGCTGGATTCCTTGTAAGACCAGGAATATTTTGAATATATATGTCATATATTTTGCACAAAAGATAACATATTTACTCAGAGTAAACATTATATCTAAAATTTGTATGTCTAATGCAAAATCTATGATGTTTATATTCAAAATGATCATCAAATTGTAAGAATTCCAGCAATGTAAATTATATTCTGGCCGGGTAATTTGTATGAATTTTATGAGCTAAATAAAAAAATAAAAAATATTATACTTCACCGCGTATATGAGTAGATGAACCGCGTTAAGTGAAAGTTCGGTTCTGGCGAGGCACCGCGTATATGAGAAATCATGTTAAGTGAAACCGCGTAAAGCGGGGTAATACTGTATAATTTTGTGTGTTCAGTATCTGTGTAAACCACAGAGTCCTATCACACTACAGTACATGTAGTGTAGCAACCAGTCGTGTTGTTACTGATTCTTCCATTACTTCAACTCACACAAGTATACATTACTCCCACACCTATCCTTCCATTTTATAAATCTATAAAATGAATGAGTTGCTGTTGCTTTTGTAGCCTTTGCCTCACATGGTGTGAAACTGATGGACTTCATGTATCCTACAACAATTGTCAGTCACTCCCAGAGATCTTTTGTGAGAGTTATTTTGAAATATTATCTGTGCTGGACAAATATTAGGCATGTAGTGAGTAGATGAGTTGTGTGTTGCACAGTGTTGCAATATAGACACAGTAGATTTTAGGTGAGTTGCACTTTGTGTTGGTATTGGCTGAAAAAAAGATGTTATTGACAACATAGTCTGTCGAGATATACTTTCACTTCCCTGGGGAAGTTAATTTTTAAAATACAGTACAGTCCAGTATTGATATCTGGTGGATGTTTGATCAGTACAGGCATCCCTCAATATACGATCGTGATGCATTTCTGAAAACCTGATCGTCGTTAAGTGAATAATCGTACATCAAACACATTACAGCATGGTGTCAAAGGGGTCACATCCCAACAGTCAGAGTGGGAGTGTTTACCCAAGTAGGCTTAAAAAAAATACGATATTGAAGCACTTCAACACCATAATATTAGAGCACCTCAACACCATAATATTAGAGCACCTCAACACCATAATATTAGAGCACCTTAACACCATAATATTAAATCACCTCAACACCATAATATTAAAGACCTCAACACCATAATATTAAATCACCTCAACACCATAATATTAGAGCATCTCAACACCATAATATTAAAGCACCTCAACACCATAATATTAAAGCACCTCAACACCATAATATTAGAGCATCTCAACACCATAATATTAAATCACCTCAACACCATAATATTAAATCACCTCAACACCATAATATTAAAGACCTCAACACCATAATATTAAATCACCTCAACACCATAATATTAGAGCATCTCAACACCATAATATTAAAGCACCTCAACACCATAATATTAAAGCACCTCAACACCATAATATTAGAGCATCTCAACACCATAATATTAAATCACCTCAACACCATAATATTAAATCACCTCAACACCATAATATTAAAGACCTCAACACCATAATATTAAATCACCTCAACACCATAATATTAGAGCATCTCAACACCATAATATTAAAGCACCTCAACAATATTAAAGACTCAACACCATAATATTAAATCACCAACACCATAATAACCTCAACACCATAATATTAAAGACTCAACACCATAATATTAAATCACCTCAACACCATAATATTAAAGCACCTCAACACCATAATATTAAATCACCCCAACCATAATATTAAAACCTCAACACCATAATATTAAAGCACCTCAACACAATAATATTAAAGACCTCAACACCATAATATTAAATCACCTCAACACCATAATATTAGAGCATCTCAACACCGCAATATTAAAGCACCTCAACACCATAATATTAAAGCACCTCAACACCATAATATTAAAGCACCTCAACACATAATATTAGAGCATCTCAACACCATAATATTAAATCACCTCAACACCATAATATTAAAGCACCTCAACACCATAATATTAAAGCACCTCAACACCATAATATTAAATCACCTCAACACCATAATATTAAATCACCTCAACACCATAATATTAAAGCACCTCAACACCATAATATTAAAGACTCAACACCATAATATTAAATCACCTCAACACCATAATATTAAAGCACCTCAACACAATAATATTAAAGACTCAACACCATAATATTAAATCACCTCAACACCATAATATTAAAGCACCTCAACACCATAATATTAAATCACCTCAACACCATAAATTAAAGCACCTCAACACCATATAATATTAAAGACCCAACACCATAATATTAAAGCACCTCAACACCATAATATTAAAGCCTCAACACCATAATATTAAAGACTCCTCAACACCATAATATTAAAGCATAATATTTCATAATATTAAAGCATCTCAACACCAGATATTAAAGCACCTCAACACCATAATATTAAAGACCTCAACAATTATAAAAGCACCTCAACACCAAAATATTAAAGACTCAACACCATAATATTAAATCACCTCAACACCATAATATTAGCACCTCAACACCATAATATTAAAGCACCTCAACACCATAATATTAAATCACCTCAACACCATAATATTAAAGCACTCAACACCATAATATTAAATCACCTCAACACCATAATATTAAAGACTCAACACCATAATATTAAAGCACCTCAACACCCATAATATTAAAGACCTCAAATCAATTCATAATTAAAGACTCAACACCATAATATTAAATCACCTCAACACCATAATATTAAAGCACCTCTCAACAATTCATAATATTAAATCACCCCAACACCATAATATTAAAAGCACCTCAACACCATAATTAAAGCACCTCAACACCATAATATTAAAGACCTCAACACCATAATATTAAAGACCCCAACACCATAATATTAAAGACTCAACACCAAAATATTAAATCACTTCAACACCATAATATTAAAGCATACATAATTAAAGCACCTCAACACCATAATTAAAGACCTCAACACCATAATATATTAAAGACTCAACACCATAATATTAAAGCACCTCAACATAATATTAAAGCACCTCAACACCATAATTAAAGCACCTCAACACCATAATATTAAAGACCTCAACACCATAATATTAAAGACCTCAACACCATAATATTAAAGACCTCAACACCATAATATTAGAGCACCTCAACACCATAATATTAAAGCACCTCAACACCATAATATTAAATCACCTCAACACCATAATATTAGAGCATCTCAACACCATAATATTAAAGACCTCAACACCATAATATTAAAGCACCTCAACACCATAATATTGTATCACAACATTAAAACTTAAATTGTGCATAATGTTTGCAAAAAGACCCACCAGTGTACACCTTTCATCGAGAAACACTAAAAGTGCCTCAACTTAGAGGCGAGTGTTTTCAGGAACAGAACCATTGTAATAAACAGCGACTACTTGTTTCAGTATTCCACACATCTTTAGCTTTATGGGGTGTTACAATAGAATGAATGGATGAAAAATGGCAAATGCAGTGTGTTTACTATTGGCTATCCGTACCTTGTAATATGGTGCTTGAGGGTTAGCTTAGGTGAGTGTACTACAAGTTTTCTGTTGAATTTCAGATTTTATGAAGTGTATCCCATGTTCCCGTGGCGTGTGATAGCAGCGCTCCATACCCTCAACTTATTTGTTCCACAACTTACTCTGGACACAAGGCTACTGTTTGACCAAGGCAGGATGGTAGAAGATGATAATCTTACCACAGCTTGGAATAACCTAGATTCTATTATTAGTAAGTTTGTATTATATATGGCTGAGTATGCAAGGTGAGGAAGCGGCTTTATGTACTTGTACAGTATTGTGCAACTCTCATATATATGTAGTTTATCGTATCATTTCAAGGTTTATGTTACTCTTGATGCATCTCAGGGTTTCTGTTACTCTTGATGCATCCCTGACAAGAGTTTGATACATTGATGTTGCATAAAAAAATTCAGTCCAGTGATCCCTCTTTTGGCAATAGCTTATGTGAGAATGTAGAGAGAATATGCACACAAAGGGAGCGCTGGCTTTGTTTGAGAGATGACAAACAACTGCTTGAGCTTCCCAGCCACACAGCCTGATGCAACATGAGCAGGACAATTTTGACAGATTTACAAGAATTTGGCAAACACTGGTCACATGTTTAAATGAATCTTTAGATTTCAGCAGTGCCAAAACCTGCTAAATTAACATTAAGTACAAATAATTGAGAGTTCAGTATACTGGACAGTATTATCTTATTTTATATTACAGTATTACCAATACATGTACAATACTGTGCAGTATTTATGAGTTAGTTAAGTATATGAACACCTCTCCTGAATGACATACTGAGAAAAACATTCTTTTGCACTTCTAGGCCAGTCACTGTGGGGGGCTCATTTCACCTGAGTGTCATGTTGACAAAGTTTTCATTATTACTGCAGATTTATTCTTTTTATATATTTAATGCTTATGTTTTACTAAATATTTAGGTCACTCTATGGTTTACAGTAATAATCTCTATTATTTAGGCACCCCCAAGTCTCTGCAGCAGCTGTGTGTACTGGCAGTCCGACGTGCTGTTGGGGATAAGAGAGGTTGGCGTCGACTACCATCATCTCTTAATCATTTAAAATATATGGATGCTCCACTGCCTCCCATAATTATGGACCTTCTAAACTTTCGACAGGTGTGAGATAATGTGTTTTCTTTATTTATGTCAAGTATATTGTTTATTACTCCTTTATATTAATCATTCCTCTTCCTGATGGTACAGCCGTAGTGAGACTGCTTATCTTAATTGTGTCCCAGGTTTAGTTCCCGAGCTGAATTTGAGAAGGGTGTTTTCCAGTGTGGCCCAACCAAATAACACAGGTTTTGTCAGGGTACAGTACAGTATTACCCCGCTTTACACGGTTTCACTTTCCGCGATTTCTCATTTACGTGATTTCTCATTTGATTTCTCATTTACGCGGTACCTTGCCAGAACCAGACTTTCACTTTCCGCGGTGCATCTACTCATATACGCGGTGAAGTATAATTTTTTTTTTTTTTATTTAGCTCATAAAATTCATACAAATTACCCGGCCAGAATATAATTTACATTGCTGGAATTCTTACAATATGATGATCATTTTGAATATAAACATCATGGATTTTGCATTAGAATTTTAGATCAAAAGAATTTGGTTTCACATTTTATTTAAAATATGAAGTTTACATTCAAAATCCTGACCTGCAAGGAATCATGTCAATTAACTAACTTAGTCTGGTATTATTTAAAGTAAATTATTTTCCCCACTTTCTGGTAGGGAGGAGGACCGTTTGATTGGATAGTGTCTAATTTTTTTTATTTATAGATTTGTTTGCTAAAAAAATTATATTTGAATTTCATATTTTATAAACATCATGGATTTCATACAAATTTTAGATCTAAAGTTAATTTGGTTTACACAGCAAATATTTTATCTTTTGTGCAAAATATATGAAGTTTACATTCAAAATATTCCTGACCTGCAAGGAATCCAGAAATGTCAATTATATTATCCTAACTTATCCGGTATTATTTATTACTAAACGTTAAATCTAGTTTTCACCACATTTATCTGGTAGGGAGGGAAGGTGGGGGGTGGGGGGAGGGTTGGGACCGACCGACCCAGCTGGCGTGAGTGTGAGGGAGGCAAGGTGGGGTACTTTGATTGAGAGATAGTGTCATGAAGAATATTTTTTTTATTAACTGAAGATATTTGTTTTAGCTCATAAAATTCATCAATTTCTCGACCAGAATATAATTTACATTGCTGGAATTCTTACAATATGATGATCATTTGGATTATAAACATCATGGATTTTGCATTAAACATACAAATTTTAGATCTAAAGTAATAATTTGGTTTACACAAAAGCAAATATTTTATCTTTTGTGCAAAATATATGAAGTTTACATTCAAAATATTCCCTGACCTGCAAGGAATCAGGAAATGTCAATTATATTATCCCAACTTTAGTCTGAGGTATTATTTATTACTAAACGTTAAAATCTAGAGTTTTCACCCAAACATTAATCGGTAGGAGCTAGTGAGCTGGGAAGAGGGGGGGGGTGGATTTGAGTCCATTATTTGAATGGACATTAACCTGGCGACTGTATTTCTCTTAAATATTAATTGTGTGAGCATACCATCATAAAATTTAGATGTTATTTTTACTACAACATAGGTATTGTGTCGGAAAAAGTGGAGGTTGGGGGTCGGGCCAGTCTCTATTGGAATTAATCCCATATGTTCTGTTGTTCACTTTACGTGGTTTTCACTTTCCACGGTACCCTGTGGGTTCAATTGACCGCGTAAATCGGGGTACTACTGTAATACCACTGTGCCATAGAGGACAAACTCACCAGGAAACAATAGGGGTATTAAACAAACCACTGGCTACCTTTGCCCACCAAAGCAGTAAATTACATGTTATCAGACTCGGACAGGAATTTTTGGCTTGGTAATATCCTGTGAGAGTTTTGTCATCATACTGTGCTAAAAACTAACACCTGGACAGTGTGCTCATATTAACTTGTGTGTGGGCCAGTTCAGATAGTTCCTGGAATAAATTCATCACTTATTTGACACGACACTATACAGTAAACCCTTTCAATAAGGGACATCATTTTGTTTGGTATATTTAACAGACTCAGTCGGTAAGATCCAGCAGTGGGAACATTGTCCACTATTGACCTGGTATAATGCCCTTAAAATGCTTCGTACCAAACACAGAAGTCATTTAACAACCCCAAAGTTAATCTCTAAAGCTCAGTTAATAGCCACACAAATTTCAGACTTGTTTTATCTTTTACAGATAGACACAGAGACTCTGTACCATTCCCCACCCCTGAGTGCCATGCCTATCTACCTCTCTCCCAAGTCTCCCATGGACACTGACTCAAGTGAGGATGAAGAGCTAAACAACCTGTTAGTGCCCTTACAGGAGGAAAGTGATGCTGAAGAGATGGAAACTGCTGAGGAGCATGAAGATGAGTAGAGACATTTAGCACAAACTGCTGTATTGCCCATGAAAGGGATCTCAATATTTGAGTCAGTAGGAAATCTGTCTCTTCTTTTTATATAGATACAGTAAATCCTCTATTTGCGTCGTTCCTAATTTCGTAGTTTCCCATAATTATCACTGTGGGCACGTTAAGGGAAAAATTATAATTTAAATTCTTGTTTTATATTAACTTTGATCTTTTTAAATTCAAATTCACTAGCTGCCATTGCTACTTTGAGCAGTCATTACAAAAAAAAATTATCAGCCATTTATGGTGTGAGTTAAATTCTATTTACTTTGTGCATATTGTGTTTTCCTGCATAAAGAAGGTTTGGTTGAACTTGTTTGTTATTTAATGAGAAATAAGAGATTGTAAGGGGAAAATATTTTACTAGTGGTTGCATCTGTGCCAGCTGTTTTGATACCTCCTAGTGTCATTAATTTGTATTTTCATAACAATTGTTCGCCTTTACTTCTTTTGATAAATACGTAACAATTCAACACACGTCCAAACTCCTGTACACGGCATTAGTACTGTACATATATAGTACTATCATTTAAATTAATAAAAATCTTCAATAACTGCTGTTTTTTTTCTGTACATATACAGTACTACAGCACTGTATAGCATTTTGTTTATGTTTATTTAGACTTGGTACTAGACTGTATCTCTTTTGGTAGTTAATTCATATTTTTTTCTGTTGAGTATGGCCAAAAAATTCCCCCAGGAATGAATTCCCTACTCATAACATTAAGACTTTGGGAAAATACACACTGATTAATTTCATGCTTTCTAGGAACACATCCTTGAGCCTATGAGAACAGGTTCTAAGTTGCCATTAGTTCCTTATAATTGGCTATGGACTTTACTATCAACTGGCCAGTACTGCACAAAAATAACTCGCTGTAGATTAATGTTCTCTTCACACTAATTCTCTTCCAAATATGTTTTTTTTATGGGCTTTTATTGCATTTTATTAGAAATAACCTTTTTATTAATACAATTAGGCAGACTTAAAATAAGAAGACCAGTGAAGATAAATTTGCAGAGGCATGACAAGTGGGTGGTAGAAATAACAAGGAATGCCAACTGTTGAAATTTACCTCCTCCTGAGATATATAAATGAAATGCTTTCTAGCTAAACTTATTAATGTAAAATAACTGGGGCACATTATGAAAGAGAAAAATTACCTTATAAATTAATGTTACTAAGAATGCGATTATTGACAAAGACTTGTGACATTGTCAACACCACGAGCTGTTCACCAGTTGGCCACAATGCTTCCTGCATTAAAGATATTTTTTCAATACTGGTAAACATAATTTTGCTGAGGTAAGTTTCAATGCTTTAGAATTCAGTTAATAACATTCTCTTGCCCACTAACACCACCATTTCTTATTACATACAGTTGTACAACAGCTGGTTTATTTGTTTAAATACATTGAAATTTTTAGATTAAACATAATTTTGTTAAGGAATTCTTTATTATTATATCTAAAAACCCAGCAGTGATAAGTGTAAACACACAAATGTGTGGGTTACAGGTAGTACAGTTCAGTACAGGGGGTCCCCGACTTACGAACATCTGACTTATGAATGCCCGCTGATATGAATGGGGTTAAACTTTAAATTTACAGTACGGGGTATTTTATTTACCTGATGACTTATTTTTTTCTTTCGTTTAGTATATTTTGTCATTTTATTTCTTCTTTTCTCTTAAATTAAGTGATTTTAGATGTATATACTGTACAGTCGTGGGTTTTCAAACATTGTTCTGTAGGTACAGTATGTACAGTCAGCCAAAGATCCAGCGACCCTACCCTGAGTCTCATACTGGCAATTTTACCTGGCAATACTTGGTAAAGGAAGGCTGTATGTACAGGTGATTAGATCTATTTGGTTGTCACTGTCAGATAATTAAACTATTAGAAAAGTTTCAATAGCTTGTATATTTGCTTAAATAATAAAGAAAATTTGATCTAAGAATCTTGTGGCAGTCCTCGTTGTAGTTGAATTGCCAATTCATTAATATAATTTCTACATTATTTAACCAAATATACAAACTTTTGGAAACTTCTCATGATCTTATATAACAATGAATAGTTTTTTATTTTAAAATTCTATCTTTGGATTGTTTAATATTTATCCTGACAGCAATGCAGCCAAAAATAGATCCGACACTCACAATCACCTTACTTTACCAAGTATTGCCAGTAAGAAACTCAGGGTGGAGTTGCTGGATCTTTGGCTGACTGTACATAGCATGTGTTTCGACTTACGTACATTTTCGACTTAAGAACGTCCTCAGGAGCGGAACCCATTCATAACCAGGGGACCCCCTTTACAGTACAGTACTAGAGACAGCAGCTGTCAGTGAGTGATATTTAACAGTCATCAAACATTCTAGGACTACAATATTTTCTCCACCACACTGAATCGTGTACAGTATAAGTAGTTTTTACTGCATAATAAAAATAATGGTCACAATTAACTGGCCCTATAGAAGCAAAACTGCAAAAAAAGACAGAACAAATTGAGGGTTTACTGTATACACTTCATTCACAATTGTTCTGTATCTGGAAAAATTTCAAGAGAGGCAAAGATGATTTGGAAACCCAGTTTTAAGACCAAAGCCACCAGGCAATTACTGTACTATTGTTTGTACAGTACATAAGTAAATTGTAACCGAAGAAATTTTTAGCAAAAGTTCTTAAATGGTAATATGAAAACTTAGATATTCCAAGACAAAATAAGAAGATCCCATTAAAGAAAAATATGTATATTTTTCAATGGAAATAGGATAATTTTCAGGTACAAATAACAAAAAAGGAACTATGCTGCTGTCAAAATTTGCTAAACAGAGTACAGTACAGTACTGTACATTAGGAAACTGTAAAACACATTTGTAACTTGTCCAAGAAACTTTAAATTAGGTTTAAGATTATTTATATGCATGTTTATATGTGGATGGTGTAAGAGAAACTTTATGAGCAGTACAATGCAGTAGGTGACATATTTGCAGAGAGAGAGAGATATACTGTATAGGTACGGTATACTGTATGTGTGCATGTGCTTTTTGTGCATGTGCGTGTACTCAGACACAACAGTACAAAGCTAATATAAAGCAAGAATGAATTCTTCTACTTTAGTCATTAAATATATACTGTAGTCACAGTATTTGATATTGATATATTTTTTATTAAATATGAAAAAAATCTTGTTTTTTTATCATATGCAAATACAAATGAAATAAGTTATAACAGGTTTTCACAGTGGAGTTTTCCTGTGATTTTTAAAAAGATATGGTTGAATAGGAGGTGGCCCATGGTGAGTAGGCAATAGTTAAGTGTACAAGAAGCCTGTATGAAGTCACACCAGTATGGATATGAAACTAAACTTCCAAACTTTAGAAAATCAAATATAAAAGCCGAATAAATGAAAAACTTATGGAGTATTATAGAAATGAAAAAGAACAGTTGTTGCTGTTATAATATTATGCAATTCAACAGCGAAGGTCTCTAAGAGTGCAACAAGGTTAGTAATATCGTACACTAGTGCAACAACAGTTAAAAATTATGAGACAGAACTCTGTATAAAAAACAGAGGAAGAGAGACTAAAGAGTGTTAATATTTCAAAGTAATAAATACCAACTTAAAAGTCTGTGTAAAGAAATTTGGGAAAAATTTACTAAAATGGTAAGAATTATGTAATATTAATTTAATGTTAAAAATTATTATAGTAAGTTCTAAGACTATACTGTAATATAGTCTTAGAGTAAGTTCATCATAATTCTGTCCCCTTTCTCTTGTCATCCTGGCCGGGCCAAATATAAGGACTCACGATGGTCACACACTTGTCTGTCAGGAATGATCGAGACTGGTGGGATGCACAAGTTATTACATGCATTACTTCTCTATCTATGTACCGTAAGATGTTTTCAACAGGTTTTTGATGTGATATATTCAGTTGTAAGCTTGGCTAATATGGAGGACTTCACAGCCGCTTCCCCCGTCTCAGTAACAGTAACTTCGCCCACGGCAGGTGTTAAGTTATGCTAGGTTAGGTTAAGGTTAGATTAGGTGGCTAATATGGAGGAATTCACAGCTGAAGCATTATTTGTTTTGATGTTTATATTTACACTATATTTTCATCAGCAAGTTCTGATATAATAATATTTTATGGAAATTGCTTTCTAAACTTCCCTCTTTTGGTTTCTCTGCCCCACTTTGTTTTCTAATCTCTAGCTTCCTTGAGAACCCGATCCATGGCAGTTGTTGTCGAGGGATCAATCTCTCGCTCTTTCTCTACCACTAGTGGCATCTCACAGGGTTCTGTTCTTTCACATAGTGTACTCTCTTCCTTCTTTTTATCAATGATTTACTTCACACTACAACTAATTCTATTCATTCTTACGCTGTTGATTCTACTTTTCACTCTTATTCATTTTCACATTTTCTCCTTCCTCCTAACTCTCAAACTAGATCTGTTTCTTGAGCTGATATCATTTTCATCTATCAATGCAGATCTGTGCAGCATCTCTGAATGGGGAGGTAGAAACTTGGTTAAATTCAATAGTAATAAACCTTAATATTTACCAATTACACTTTCTAAATTAGATGATCTCCCACCAATCACATTTCAGGAAGCTATCATTCTGCCAAATTTTGAAATAGATATGCTAGGCCTCTCCATTTCCTCCAATGTCATGGAAATCACACATCCTTAACATAGCTAAAGCTGCCTCCCGAAAGTTGGGAATGCTGTACAGATGTCGTAGCTACTTCACTCCTGAGTAGTTGCTACAAGTATATAAGGGATTCATTCGTCTTAACTTGGAGTACTGCTCTCATATCTGGGGTGGCTCTTTTTCTGTCCAACTGTTAGATAGGGTGGAATCAAAGGCATTTCGTCTTATTAACTCTCCTCCTTTAGTCGATAATCTTTCTTCCCTTTCTCTTCGCCGTAATGTTGCTTCACTCTCTCTCTTTTACAGGTACTTTAACGGGCAATGTTCGGTTGATTTGGCATCCTGTGCGCCGCCGGCAAGGCCGTGGGATCATAACACGATGCCCACCGTTTCTCTGTGGATGTCGGTCACACTAGACTAACCCCTTATAGTACATCCTTCTTTCCTCACACAGCCAAAATGTGAAAAGCTCTGCTTTCTTCTGTGTTTCCATACCTATACAATCTGTCTCACTTTAAAAAGCTGGTTTTCCGGCATCTTCGTGGTATAGATTAAGTATAACCTTTTTCTTCTTTATTTTTAATTTCTTTCTATTTTTATTTTTTCTCCCCCCAGGCCCCGTTGTGGGTCGTTCGACCAGTGCCCAAGTGGGCTAATTCCCGTAAAAAAAAAAGGCGACTAGGTAGGCATGTACTACTTTGTCTTTCTCAACGGTACATCTCCGATTGATGCTAGTTGCCAAAGTACAGTACAGTATGTTTATGAGCCACGCGGATCAGGCCACTGCTCTCACATCCACAAACAACGTAAGATTATACCATATAATAGTAAGTTCTTTCTGTTTAATATGCCTGGGGTCTGGAAGGTTGAGCCTCACAGCTAGGAAGTTAGGT